CCATGACTGCTACCCTTTCATATATATACATATTTATATAGTTTACAGTTGCGCTATAGTCTACGCTAACTAGTTAGTATATTTGAAATCTCCCATTCAAACCATTGAGTTCTGGAACGTGAAAATCCGTTTATTAAATCAAAAGTTGTTCATGGTGATGCGAATTTTTTCTTCTTTTGCGTATTACAAAGCAAAAAATTTTATTAAAGCAAAAACACCCAGATAGCTAAATGCATTCACTAAAATGCATTGAAAAAAAAATCACGGGGACTTATTTGTCAGGTCACGTGTGGTTTTTGCGGCGTTGATGCGTACATCGAAAAATGTCACGATGTTCGTGTTTGGTGACATCGCATTTTGACGTCACCCAAAGGTCAACATGAGACCTTTAGACTATTAAAGGATGCATAAAATGTTCCAATATGAAATGCAATAATCGAAAAAAAATGTTTATTAAAGAAGTAAATAACTGAACTCAGTGGCGCGATAGAGGGCCAAGGCCTACTGTGCCCGTTTCAGTTTTCTTGACCTTGAGCTCTGGGGTGCAGAGGCAGGCGTTCCAGTTAGGTCAAGTTAACGTGGAACCCCCAGTGTTTTGAAACCCCAAGCATGCTTGGTATTCATTTATCGACCCAATGAAGTGATGAATGGTGAGTCAACTTTTCCCGGCCCGAGGATTGAACCCAGGACATGTGGCACGGGAGCGCAAAGCGCTACCACTCAACCACCGGGCGTCATTAAAGAAGTAAGGTTAAGTAAATTAATATTTATTTATTTTTAAACTAACTTCCTTAATGTGAAATTTTTTTGATAAAAATTTAAAAATTTTATATTTTAATATATTTTTGCTTTCTTTGAAAAGTTTGTTTAACACATTGAGATGAGAGAAAAGGGAGAGAAAAGGGGAGAAAGAGAGAGAAAAGAAAAGAAGAGAGAGTGAGAAAGAGAGGGAGAAAGAATGTGAGGGAGAAAAAAAGATTATACATGTCTTGTGTCAGCTGAAAAGATATTTTTATCTGAGATTAGTTTTACCTATATATACTCTAAAACGAAGTTATTTGCATTTTATATCAGTCATCAGTTTTCGAATAGATGAGTCAGGATAATAAATGAAAACTGTATCATCATTTCTGATGAGAATTTTTAGTTACTCACGTCTAAATTGCAGTCAGAAAAAATTTCTTCGAGAAATTTAAAGAAAAGTAACAACTTCAACCGGTTAAGAAATAATCGTGGAGCCTAAAAACAAAAGGAAAGTAGCAAAAGCTGCAGAAGTAACTAATTAGTTTAAGAAATGTATCAAAGTTTATGCATTTTTAAAAGTGAATATTAACATTGAAAATGAGGAAATGGCTGTCTTCATATTCAGGTATGAAATACATTCTAAATTACATTTTAAAGGCAAATTAACAATTTTTTAATAAGTCGATTAATAATGTTACAATATTTCAATATTATTAGTATACTATTGATATGTTTTTGAATTGTAATATTTTTTATATCATAGTTGCTATTTAATTTATTAATGGTTTTCATAGTTTAGGAAACAAAATGAAGGGATGTTTGTTTTGAAATTGAAGTTTAAAAAAAGTTTTACGATAAAACAATTTTATTTTGTTTAAATTTAAAAGGAGTTTGGAGTATAAATTTCAAACTTTGATATTTTAAAGATGTGATGTTGTCCACTGATTTGCTATTGTTACAATACTCAATGTTACGATAACAATATTCAAATAATTCAGCGAGAAAAATATTGCCTTTTTTTATTTCCAACAATTAATTAAAATATTTTCAGAAAGTTAAGAAACAAACCTACAAATGTTTTAATAAAATTTAAAGAAAATTTAATAAAAATAATTCTGTAATAAAATTTAATTATTTTCATAAATGTAATTTTTTTTCAAACAAATGTTCAATTAAAAGTTAAAATTAAATTACTGAATTAATTTGAGGAAATTTCTAACATCACAATTCACAATGTGCAAAAAAAAAAAAAAAAAAAAAAANAAAAAAAAAAAAAAACAATATAACTTTTGATCCGGTCATTTGATTATAGCAGAGAAAGCGAGTTCTGCCAATCTCATAACCGACGGAACTGGGTTCGAGTCCCAATATTGACATCGCAATAATTCCCCTGTTACACATGAGTTTTCAGTGTCCAGCACCCTAATTTGGCACCCTGGGCTGTAACAATACGATACTCTCATTGACGCATAGATAACAACATCACAAAGCCGCTAAAATATCTCTAATGTACAGATAAAGTTTTTATTTATGGTTTTGAAACCATGCTAATTGTAAATGGTTAAAAATCCGCATAGTTTTGCATTTGTGGATTTTAATCTTACTAGTTGTAAACGGATTCAATACCGTAAAGGGGAAAATGTTCTTTACCGTAAATTTTACGGTTAATCAGGTGTACAGACTGATACAGGCTATTATACCATAATTTTAGAATAAAAATTCTAACAGTGTACGGATGATATTTTAAGTTACAAAAACAAACTTAAGAACTATTACAAAATGTAGACATTTTTGCTAAGGGATTGTACTTTTCAAGAGGAACCAAAATCTAATAAACGAAGTCAAAGTGCGTATTTTTAGTATTTAGGTTTTGTTTTTAAAATTTTACGAAATTTTAGAGAAATTTTCATAATTTTAGTGCATTAATGCAGCAGAGGATATCAATTCAGTTAAAAAGATTTGCACACTTCAGGATAATGGTGGTTAAGAACTTTTTAGCACGACTTTTTACATTTTTTAATAAAAGTTTAAAAAAGGTTTAAAAAGGTTAAAGGTTTATGAAGCGAATTAATTAATTCGCTTCATTATTTACGTTATATGTAACAGATACGTTGTAATTAGGAATTTTCTTTTTACTGAAAAAACTATGTGGAAAAAGAAAAAAATAATATTGTACTTATGTATTAAGAGTATAGTTTAAATTTTGTGGAAAAGAAACTAAAAAATTCAATAAAAAACTTGAATATCTCTGAAATTCGTCGAAAAAATTACGAGTGAGATAAGTGTTAGTAAGATACTGGCAACATTGTCTTAGTATTAACTTGATGGGTAACGTATTACTTTTAATATAGTTCTGGAGGAGGTAAAAATTTGTTACATAATACAAATTATATTGTACTTATATGTATATACCTATTTCGATAATGAAATTAATATTCTATTTAAAACTGTTAAAATATGTTAACTTCTAAGACACACAGGAATATTTAAATATTCCTGTGTGTCTATTTAAATATTTAATCAGATTAATTCCATAATTATAAAATAATTCAGTGAGTTTTACAGCAAATGTGAGTGTGATTTCTTTTGTATAATATAAATAATATTGTACTTTGTCTAATTAGATATTGCGTATTAGTCTAATCAGATAATAAAATCAAAAAATTTTTATTTCGAAATGTAAGAAAAAAAAACGCATTTGAAGTTTTGTAAAAACTTTTGCAATAAATTGTTCTTAAAAATATATTTGTAAATAAACATATATATATAATGTAAGTAAATATATTTTGTTCTTAAAAAATATATTTGTTAAAAATATTGCGCGAAAGTTAAAGGCAGTTATTTATTACACTCTTAACAAACAATACTTTTCTCACACTACAAGCGAAAGGAAAAGTATAATTTTTGAATTTAAAAAATAGCGAAGTAGAAGTAGATGGACACATTTGTAACAAAAATAACAGAAAATGTTTAGCTTTTCTTTTTGTAGCTCTTGAATTGTAACCTCAAAGTAGAAGCAGCCAATCTTTAAATAAACATAAATATTAATGAGTATCATCGACATAACAATTGATTTAGATAATCAAAATAACTTTATGCGTGCCGGAGTTCGTTTTTGTCTCCGAAAACGTATTCAGTCAAGTTTCTTGTCTTATTCTTACAATAAACGTGGCATGAACTTTTAAAGGGATACTTTTCATAGAAAAATATTTGTTAAGGTGTTCTTTCACATTTTTATATAAATCATTTGATGATGGAATTTAGTAAGTAAAAGTTTGAACTGTTTTTGGCATTTGAACGGAAATCGTCATTGCAATGTGAAAGAAAAATATTTTTCTCTATTATGAATAAATTGAATTTTTAAGTAATTTTTAATTAACGGAGTTATTACCCATTTTTAAATTTATTAAGATTTCACTAAGTGACATAAATCTATTTAAATAGATACAAGAACTGGACAAATATATGTTGTTTGTTTATGTAATTTGATTTTAAAAACATTCACGAAAGTAGCATCAAATCGTGAAGTTAATCAATTCAGATTATTTAAAAAAAAAAATTTTGTGTTATTAAAAATATCTAACTTGTTAATTTAATAAAAAAAATTTGAAATTTTAAAGCATATTGAAACTAAATAATCAATATCTAATTTAATTAATTCCACAATTAAAATACATTTTAATGAGTTTTACAGTAAATCTGCACGTGAGTTTCTTCGTATGTTTATAAATAAAGTTTATTTAAACTTTCATTTTATAAATTAGAAATAAGCGTAAAACATTTTTATTGTTTATAATAGAGAACAGTATCAGGCTTCTAAAACTTAAATGCACTAAAATTATTAGAGCTAATTTAATTGACAAAAAATTAGATTACTTTTAGCTAAGTCGAATAGGTTTTTTCTTGTTGAAAAACTCTCTAATTTTCAATCCATTTTAGCGAGTGATTTTCGGAAAAAAAGCATGCGAAAGAAAATTCTTTTCTCTTTGCTTTTTATCCCTTTTATTTATAAAACCTAAGATCACAGAAATAGTTAAAAATCTTTGCTTTAGAATGACATTCTTAAGCATTAAAGCAAAAAACTGAAAGGAAATATTATGGTTAATTTAAACTTATTAAGTAAACTTGTGATAAATATTAGCTTTTTAAAGGCTGTATATTAAAAACTATTATGTGCTTTAAAAATAGTTACTTATATCAAAAAGAAGCAACACCCTTATAATTGGTGTTGTATCAATGGGAATTTCAATGTAGGTAATAAATGAATGACATTAAATGACAAAAAATGACAAAAAATGAATTTAACGAATGAAAAATAATTCTGAATGGATTCAGCAAACGAAAAATAGCAATTAAGACTCCTTTAAGTCAGTAATTAAATGACGATGTACCTACAAACTCAACCGAATACATAAGAAATTATTGATTTAGGATTTTTAAGAAATTATAAATAAATACAATAAAATATAAGAAATACATAAGAAATAATTATATAAGAATTAATTATATAAGAAAGAAGATAAGAAATCATTGATTTAGGATTACTGATATTTTATGAGAAACCATTTATGTTACATTGTATATGCATATTAATGAATATTTTTTAGTTCATGGACTTTTACAAAGAAGATACGTAGTTACTCTACTGGGCTTCCTATGTTCTATAGTCACTCAATCTCAGAGATTGAATATTGCCCTTGCTATGGTTGTTATGGCGAATTCCACCAATGTAGAACCCAAAGTTTTTAGAAGAAATTACACTGAATGTCCAATAACAACAGAAGAAAAAGAGTATACTAAACTTGTAAGTAAGATTATTTACATTGCTTTTTAATATTGCTTATTTAATTAAGTTGTTTCGGCATTTATTTCGATTAAAAACAAATAAATCTTAATCCAGTAAATAAAAACGAATCTGAATGCGAACTTTAATTCATTATGTATAAATTTTCAATTATTGCTTATACGTAATCAGTACATAGTTAATAATAATATTATCATTATTGACATAGATACTTAACAAGGATAATATTGTAATTTTTTGATACGCATTTTAAGAAGTGCAACTCTCTTTTTTAATGACTTAGTAATCCTTGAGCCGTGCTTTGATATTTTTGGACAGTCATTATATCACGAAATCATAGGTTTTTTGACGCAACACGAGTTCTAAATTCTTTGATAAAACTGATTTTCACATGAGTCATATTTCCGTTCATTCCTAAAAATCTCTAATATGATTTATTTGATTTTATAACCGTTTGCACAATTAGTCGGGTAGAAATAGAGATTAGAGTCCTCGCTTATCAAGCAGGTGTCCGGGATTTAAACCCTGGTGATGGCCCTGGTCATTCATTATTTTTCATTTTACTCCAGTTGAATTTTCAAATCAGTAGTCATAATCATTATGTTTTCGAAAATACTGTAATGACGATAGATCTTTAATATAAGGAAATGTTCGCTTGGATTATTTCCAAGGAAAGTTTCGTAAAAAAAGAAGAAGAAACTGTCTTTAATTTAGAGCATTTATTTTTTACAGTGCAGAAAATTAAAATTGCAAACTTCTGTTTATTGTCCAAATTTGTGGCATATTATTATCATAAATGAAATATATTTATCTGTAATGAGAAATAATATTAAACAAACAGTAATCATTTATATATTACGATGTTTTTATACATAGCTAGAATAAATGCAACGATATAGCTAACAACATAGTAAGAAAAGATCTGCAGTGCTTAAAAAAAAAAAAAAACCGCACCCCTTGTTTAACTTTTGATTTGATGCTGGGATCTTCACGTTTTAGAACTCAATTTTAATGATTAACCTTATCAAATTAATAATTTGAAAAAGTCGTGTTTTAAAATTCGATTTCTCAAGAATTAGTCGACCGCCTTCGCTCAAATTTTGTATTTTGCCATTTAAAATTGCATTCTTTAAAGTGATGCAAAAAATTTGTACCTTACAATTCAATTTTTTTTTACTATTATTGAATTTGAATTATAAAAAATAGTATGTGTTTATTAGACATTATATTTTGAATGGAATAAATATACAACTGAATGCTCGTACCTTCTACCTGTAAGAATATGATAAAGAATATAAATATCTGAAAATAGTTTATATTAAAAAAAAAAAATTTTTACTATTGGCGCATTTTTATAATCGTGCTTTGTAAAATGCCACTAAAGAGTTAAACTTTGAATTCAGGCATAAATTTTTAGTTCTTATTGTGCTTGAAATTTTATTGGCAGTACTACAAATTTTGACTCATATGACTCAGGGCTAAAGAGAATAGAAGGGCTAGTTCACTCCGCTCTTAGAGCTGAAGCTACGATTTCCCTCCTCATGACGTCACTGTGTCCACAGATCTCGGAGATCGCAAGCAAAGATATTATGATAACTTTGCATCTTTCTCTTTGTAAAAATAAGTTAGACTTTTTCTGGTTATTAGCTTTCAAACTTTACGTAATTAACACATTATTTCCGTTCATAAACATAGTTCAAAAAAACTTTCTTGGCCATTATATTAAAAAAAATACCATTTTAAACTTATAAAAATGTTTTACTAGTTGGCGAAAATGACACTATAAATACTTTATTTTAAAAAGTTCAGTTTTAACTTTAATTATTAAGAAAAATGAAAGCATATATCGACACTTTTTTTATCTACATATTCTTTTATAACGATAAGTTAAGTTAAATTTAGAATCCCTGATTTTAAAATATGTCGTTAATAGCAATTTGTTCATACTTAATCATTAGGAAACATCAACCTTAAACGCTAATTACTGAAACAAAATAATAATTTAGGTTCATAATGACATTAGAAATTTTACAATTGTTTATAGATATTTAAATTTACGATGATATAATTTATAGATATTTAAATTTAAGAGAATATAATTTTTAAAAAAAATCATAAATATTTAGAATAACTACATTAAAAAATATGTTATGAAATTAGGAGAATTTCAACTATATACTATATATTTTATTTATACTTTTTATTTACATTTTAATTTTCTTTGACTTTATCCATTTTTTAATTCTTTTCACCTGCCTTTCTTTATGAAGTAACGAGGCGGTTTCTATTTAGATAATGAATTTTTATAAAAGTTCTTAACGACAGAATAAACGTATTGCTGTTTTATATTAACTGTGTCATTTCGGAATCCATTCTTTACATAGTTGTTCATTTACTTTAGGGAACACGCGGAAAATTATACTTTTTCCTTTTGTTTTTATATCAAAATTTTTTCAAGTTGCAATCGCGCAAACTGGCATTTCGATAATAGTTTTAAATTCTTGTAAATTCACTGCAAAAACTGAAGAAAGTCATTATAGAAAATTACAAATGTCTTAGAATATGTCACAAAAAAAATGCTCCAATATTAGTTAGAGCTAGCAAGGCCAAACGCTCCGTTCTTGAAGTAAAAGTGCGAGCTTTGGGCCAAAGTGACGTCACTACAGAAAATAGGATGATTGGCGCGGCGAGAGCTACTTCAAAGGAGTGAACCAGCCCCTCTATTCTCTTTAGCCCTGCATATGACTCATTTTGACTCATGCATAATCACTGTAGTCCAGATTTTTAAGAACAAACAAAGTCCCCAATAATTCAATTAAAACTTTTTTCAAAACAATGTGTCCTAACCCACTTACGGTTCAGCAAGTAAAAAGTCGTATTTAAACATGCAGACTTTTCCATATGGTACCACGTTAGATAGGGAAATAATGTATAAGGGAGAAACATCTTCCCAATTTAACTCATTTAAACCATCAGTGAGTTAAAGCTTACGGCCCTTTGCTTACGGTGTACCATATTCTACCAACACATGTGGTCCACATGTTGTACCAGCCGTAAGGAAAAGGTTTAATATACAATTAAAAATTAAAATATTTTAATTGTATATTAAACCTTTAGAATATATTATTTAGAATAAAACAGAAGAAATTTTTTTTTCTTTCTTTTCTTTTCTTTTTTTTTTTAAATATTTTCTTCTGATTAAATAAGTATTCCAAACTAAAACATTACTTCTCACTTAAACTCTCATGAAACTGGATTAAATTCGTATATTAAAATACAAATTTAATCAAAATTTCAAATCGTTGTTGAATAAGAAAAACTTAATGTATGGGGGACAATAATAGTACAGAGACATAGAGCGTTACAATGTAAAAATATATAATAATAGAAAAATTTCAGATAAAAATGACTCGGTTAAAATCTTAAATGTTAAAAATCAATAAGTGCTCTAATATGTAAAAAAAACTGGATCTCCCAGATAACTTCAGTAAAACGCTTTTTAGCTTTCTCAGTAATAGAGAAGTGATTTTTAAAGATGAGGAAGGCAATTGTATTTTTAGACGTTTCATACACATGGGAGTTCCGCAGGGCTCGTCGCTTGGGCCGGTGTTGTGGCTTATTTATATCAACACTGTTTTCCATCATTTTAACCATATTAATTTTAATGATTTTATCGAGGTTGATTTTAATGATTGCCGCTTAATAGCTTTCGCGGATGATCTTTTTATGTTGTTGAGACACCCAATTTTATATCTATTTGACCAACTGGCCACCCGCTGTCTTACCGGACTCTCGGAATGGGCTAATGCTTATAAACTCAAATTTAGTGATAATAAGACGTATTGCATCACATTTCCCAACAGTAGAAAGAAAATCGGAAGACCACCGAATATTAAAATGAGCAATAATCATACATATTCAATTAAACAGGTCCAAACTCTTAAATACCTGGGTATTTTACTTGACCAAGGCTTGACCTGGATACCTCATCTTAACCAGGTCAAGGAGAGAGTAGGAAACTTTAACAATCTTATTAAAAGGGTGGCCAGGGCGACCTGGTGACTTAAGCCAAAAATACTTAAAACCATCTACCTGCGGGCCACAGAACGCATTATTTTATATGCCGCCAGTGTCTGGTATCGTAATACTAATAGGATCAATGATAAATTAAATTCCATCCAAAGGTCTTCGCTATATGGTGACTGATGCACGTTAAATCTGTCGAGTCTCAAAGTCCTCCATGTTCCCACAACAAATCAATACCTCTGGGGGTACTGATCCAGGAGTTTCCTTGTCTTCTGGATTGGTTCAAAATTACAAGGCTACGGAGTTGAACGTAAGTAGTCGTAAACCCATGAAATTGGGTCGGCTGTTCAACGACGGTTATAAAATAAAATAAAAAGGTCTTCGCTAATACTCATAACTAAAGCTTATGCAACTACCAGCACAGAGGCCCTCCAGATACTGGCGGGGGGGGAGCCTATTCACCTTAAAGTAATTAATGATATTTGTGTCAAACGACTTAGGTGGAAGTGGCGACTGGAAAACTTTGACTCGGATATTAGGGCTGTTTTACAGACTGCACGTCCTGACTGTCCTCCATCTAGGCTTCACCCATCCACTTTTCGTTCTGTGCCCTACGGTAAGTATCTACCAATCAATACGGGACTTGAAATTTTTACTGATGGTTCGAGGATGGAGGTCGCCAACCCCAATACTAACGATAAGGAATATAGAACAGGCTCTGGCATGATTGTGAAACTGGATGGTGAGACTATTGAGGTGGCCTCCATCAGACTCACCAATAACTCTAGCGTTTATGTTGCAGAGCTCGTGGCAATTAAAAAGGCAATTTCATGGCTTTCTGACATGGATTATCCCAGGGCAACCATCTACTCCGATTCGCTGTCCTCGTTGCAAGCACTAAACAATCCAAAGCCTATTTCAAAACTTGTGGAAGAGATAAAACTTCTTTGGCATGACAACAT